GACTGTGAGAGTCCACCCATCATCCCAAAAACAAAGGTAAAAAGGGAACCATTGAAAAGGAACCCCATCCATGGCAAGAGGATTGAAAATGTTAGCAGCTATATTTGGAGCAAAATCCAATTACTAAAAGAACTGCACTCACCAACACAAAAAGCAAACATACCCACATGTTTTAGTGGAACATCAGTACCCTAAAATCAGCAACAAAATGTGCACCATATTTCATGGCAACAAAATGTGCACCACAGATTTCATAAAAAAATAAAAAATAAAGAAGAATAAGAATCAAAAAAAGATTTTTGCCATACAAGAAGAAGAAGAAGAAGGAGAGAAAAGAAGAGAGAAGAAGAATTTTGCCGAAGAAGGAGGAGGAGGAGGAGGAGGAGAAGAGAGAGAAAGATTTCTGCCGAAGAAGGAGGAGGAGGAGAGAGAAAAAAAGAGAGAAGAATCTGCCGAAGAAGCAGAAGAAGAAAGAGAGAGAAAAAAAATAGAGAAAAGAAGAGAGAAGATCAAAGAAGAGAACTTACCTGGATCGTGATTTGTGAGAGAGCAGTCGCAGATTCACTTTGAGTCTTTGAGTCGATCGCAAGCCCTAGCCCCTTCTTTGAGTCTTCTGTCTTCCTTTTTTGTTACTTTCCTTTTATTTTTATTATTTTTCTTTTTTGTTTTGTCTTGTCAACTAAAACAATAATATAAGTTATAAATGGTAATAAACATAGCATAGCATAAGTTAATAAGTTATAAAAGTTAATAAAAATAATAAACAAATCATTTAAAAGAGGCAACTTAAATTAGGCGCGCCTTATTAACGCCTGGAGCCCCTCGCCTTTGCATCAGAGGTGCGCGACTGTTCTAAGGGTCTCGCCTATGTCCTTGGCAGGCGCAGCTCATGTGCCTCGGGCGCGCGCCTTCGGCGCTTTTAACAACTATAGCGTGATGCTATGACAAAAGAATTACAAGCACTTGAGAAAAATCAAACTTGGGATATGGTTCCGCTTCATATTGGACAAAAGGTTGTGAGTTGTCGTTGGGTGTTCAGTTAAACATAATCCAGATGGGTCAGTTGCTCGTTACTAGGCCCGGTTAGTTGCGTAGGGTTATGCTCAGAATCATGGCATAGATTACCAAAAGACTTTTGCCCCTGTTGCCAAGATGAATACCACATGTATTATTTTCCATTGTTGTGATTCGATCTTGGCCTTTATTTCAGTTAGATGTTAAGAATGACTTTCTCAATAGTGATTTGCAGGAGCAGGTGTATATGGGACCCCCTCCGGGCTTACGTTCTCCTGCTCATTCCAATATGGTCTGTCATCTTCATCGCTCCCTGTATAGCCTCAAGCAGTCTTCTCGAGCTTGGTCTGATCGCTTTGGCACTGCCATGCTCCAATTTGGTTTCCATCAGAGTGCAGCTGATCATACCTTGTTCTTACGTCATTCAGGTGGTAAGATACTTGCTTTTATTGTGTATGTCGATGATATAATTCTTACCGGAGATGTACTACCAAAATTGCTGAGGTTAAGAGCTATCTTGGCCGTCAGTTTGAGATTAAGGATCTTAGTCCCCTTTAGTACTTCTTAGGCATTGAGGTGGCTCGCTCCAAGGCTGGCATACTAATCTCTCAACGCAAATATGTTATTGACTTCCTTTTTGCTTGTGGCCAGCTTGGCATTCGTCCTGTTGATACTCCAATTGAGCAGAATCATCGGTTAGCTGATTCTAAGTGGGAGGAGTTGTCGGATGTCGGTCAGTATCAACGACTTGTTGGGAAGCTCATCTATTTATCCATGACTTGACCTAACATTGCTTATGCCGCGAGTGTCGTGAGTCGATTCATGCACTCTCCTCGTACCCCTCATCTTGATACAACTATTCGGATCCTTCGCTACCTAAAGGGGTGTCCAAGTCGTTGTATTTTGTTTGCTAATCATAGTCACTTACCTATTGAGGCTTGGACAAGTGCTGATTATGCATGATCAGTTTCAGATAGGAGGTCAACTTCAGGCTACTGTACCACTATTGGTGGCAACTTGGTTACTTAGCGGAATAAAAAGCAGGATGTTGTCTCTCGATCTAGGCAGAGGCAGAGTATATGGCTATAGCTTTTGGGGTATGTGAGTTGTTATGGCTGAAAACCTTGATGACAGACTTGTGCCTTCCAATGTCACTTCCATTCTCACTTTACTATGACAACTAGTTCGCCATTAGCATAGCAGCAAATCTCGTCTAGCATGACAGGACTAAGCATATAGAGGTGAACCGTCACTTCATTCGAGAGAAGATCATCTCTAATCAACTTTGCACTCCATTTGTCACAAGGTCTCAGTAGCTTGCAGACATTCTTACAAAGGGTGTTTGCAAGATTGTGTTTGAGAATGCATTGTCCAAGTTGGGTGTTTCAAATATCCAAGCACCAACTTGAGGGGGAGTGTCAGCAGATATGGTAGCCACGATTTATCGAATGACTTACCATATTAGCAGAGATTTGATAGCCATGAATAATGGCATTGAATATGCTGTGATTTGATTTAGATTTGATTTAATTACATTTCTTGTAATATGAGCATGTGCTCTTTTTATCTATAAATACTAGTGATTCATCTCATTCAAGCCTTTACACAATTCTCTCATTTTTTTCTTCTTTTTATATTTCTTCTGAAAGCAAATTTACCATGTGTGAGAATTTGAGTTTCAACAACTTGTCAACAAAAAACCCAAACATTTGGTTACATAACTATAATATTATGCTTCACGGATTAACTAAAAAAAAAAAACTCAACGCAATGACAACTAAGCAAGACCAATAACAGTAGGGTTTTTAGCACAAACATCCCTGATGTCAATAATAAACTGGTTATTGGAAATGACAAAAACCATTCTCCATTAATGTGGTAATCGTTGTCGTATAGATTCTAGGACAAGCCCTAGGGTAGGTACGTATACCACCATAACAGCCACCACCAATAAGCACGCCACCACAAGTACACATTACATGTCATAATAGAAACATTAACACTGTTACAACCCTCACTACCATCACTGCCATTTTAGTTTTTATTATAGCCATATGCATAATCTCCTCCTTAACTACCACCACTAGTCCTGCCACTTCCACCATTATGAACAGTAAAGCTAACACAACACCAAAATCACCAATTCCTCTTTCCATTACCACCAATTCTTCACTGTCAATATCTGCATTAATGATAACATTCAAAGCAATGTTGCCACTAAAACACCACCAGTAACAATAGATAATCACACCCGATTTCTTCTTCAGTAAAGTGCTATTTTTGCATTCCAATTATTAAGATGTTTTCCGGTATTGTATTTGCAGCAAATATGATGAAAACAGTGTGGCACAAGAGTTTCTTTCCTGCTTCTCAAAAGTAATTACAAGAATTCAAACAAAATGATTCTCTCCTGCTTCTCAAAGTAATTAAAAGAATTCAAACAAAATGATTCTCTATGGTGTTATTCAGTATAAATTTATGTTGTATAGAGTAGAGTGTAGGCGTTGAAAAAGAAAAAAGAACAACACATTCATGTAGCATAAATGAATGAGGATGCTATGATGGACAATAGGAGTGACTAGAAGAGACAATATTAGTAATGAACGAGTGAGAGAAATATTAGGAATAACACCTATTAATGATAAAATTATAAAATGCAAACTTAGGTAGTATGGTCATATACAACATAGATCAAAAGATACAGTGGTTACAACAGAAAGAGTTGCTAGCCTAGAAGATAAGTGACAAAGAGGCAACCAAAACTTACATGGGATGAAGTAATTAAAAATGATCTTAAAATTTTAAATATTAGGGGATACATGGTATATAATGGGAAAAAATAGAAACAGAGAATTTATATGGCCAATCCCATCCGTATGGGACAAAACCAAGGATGATGATATATTTTTGTTGACCTCAATTGGCTACCCCTCAACATTAGGAACAAGAATTACATTATGTAGTTCTAAAAGTCAATCACCTTCTTCAAGATGCAACTCAACATCAACATGGAAATCAAATTATATATATATATATATATATATATATATATATATATATATATTTAAAAAAAAAAAAAAAAAGAACTCAAGATTTAGAAAATCTAAAGCGAATTTGTATTATTTAGACAATGTTAACATTGGCTTTTAGCCTAATCTTCACTGAGTTAAAAAGAGGAATGCGTGCTGCTCACATAGGTATTATTTAGACACCCACATAAAACCACCTTTTAACCAAAACCCATTGTTCCCAAACAAATATAAACAAATTGACTGCCACAAATTTTAGCCAACTGAATCAATTGACAAAAGCACCTAATTTTGCTGTTCTGAGCACCTGCTTCAACAAATTGATCAAATTGTCCCAGAATACTCCAAACTTTCAGCTTTTTCAAGTATCCAGCCACGTAAACCCTTTTGACCCAATGTACACCAAAGGTGATTTTAAATTCTCTCTTTAACACATATTGAACATATATTAAAATGACAAGAGCTAGAACACAAAAAATACGTCTACCAAGCTATGACTTTACTTCTATTTAGTTTCTCTCAGCACAAGCTAGGATCCTTTTAGATGGACTGTTTACCATTGTTTTCTCCGCAACCAAACAGAACATTGAGATTTATGTACAAGAAAACTAAAAAGAAAATGGAAACTGGAATTGGAATAGGAATATAAATATAATAATAAAAAAAGGGCAGATACCCAAGAGCATTCCATGTCCAAAATCAGCATGTTTGAATGAAAGAACACCAATAAATCAACTAATTTACATAAAACGGGATTTGACCCAAGTCATGAAATTCCACCAAATACAGAGAAAACCTAACCAATGCCCCATAAACACCATTCAAAGCATACCCAGTAACACCAATAACATTTTAATTACCACAATCAACAAAAGCTCAACACCATAAATCAAGAAAAGCAAATAAACATATATATCGGTAGAATATATATATGTGTGTGTGTGTATATGTATTTACCAGAAATCCTCTTGGAGAAGTTGTCCCACCAATCGAAGGGCTTGGGTTGGGTCAGCTCTGTACTTTCTTTCTCTAGTTTCTTTCTCCTCTTGAACCCTCTAATGGGTGCCATTGAAACTCCAAGACCCACTTGAGAAAAATCTTGAAAGACCCACCAAACCCAAACAATAATGGGAAAAGATGGTGTTGATGACGAGAGGGTACAAAAAGGGAAGAGAGATATTTTAGTTGCAGAGAGTGCTTTTTATGGTTTGTTTGGTTTAGTGTGTATTTTTCAGAGCATGCAATGATATGCGAGAAAATATTTTTCCAGATACGTTCCTGGCGACGTGCGTTGATGATATGTTTGGTCAAAGGAGAGACATTGTCGAATTGAATAGAAAAGAAAAGAAGTAATGCAAATAGGGCAACTTCGATTTTCAAACTGTTAGTGTTATTTTTCTTATTATTTTTTACCTTTACCTTCACAAGAATTACCTTACATTGAGTCAAGATACTAAATCATTGAATTACAGAAAATTATTACACCGTTTGACAATTATATGTTCCCAATCAATCACGTTTTTGACACGTAAGTAAATATATTAATTTTATTTTTTATTTACTTGATCGAAATCATATAATTTCAATTATGTAATAATTTTTTTGAGATGGTCGATTCACATCTCTCTTTCTTTTCTCTTTTTTCTTTTTTTTTTATTGTTATTTTTATTTTTTTTCTTTATTTTTAATTTTGTTCTTGATTGATGTAGAAAGAAAAAAGACATGTTATGGACAAAAATATTGACTACTCACATTCATTATTAGTCCAAACGTTCATTGTAGTAAGAACAATGGTTCTCTCTTTATATATTTTTGTTCCAAAAAAACATATTTATTTATTCTTCTTAAAGTTTAGTAAAGAATTATTGTCGTGTAAAGAATTATTGTCGAGTTGTCAGTATTTGCTACCGAGAGAGAGTTGATAGAAAGCTTTGTGGTCGTCGAGATTTACCTGTCTTATAATCTCTTGATGGGAAAAGGGTGGATTCACAAGATTCAAGGTGTCCCTCGACTTTGCACCAGGTAATGAGGTGCATGAGTCCAGATGGAAGTAAAGTGATTAATATATATGGAGATCAAGTGACAACAAAGGAATGTTATTCTGTAACCTTAAAGGCCAGCGGGAAGAGAAAAACGTCCATCCAACCTGTAAGCCCGAGATAGCAATTACAGGAGCCTCCACCCAAAGAGGTGGGGGAGGAGGAAGAGCTTTCGATCCTTACTGAAGAACCCCTTGTGGATGTACAGATTGATCCTCTGAGACCAGAGTCACAGACAGAACCACAAGAATAAGATCAAGGTTTGTAGTGGAGGAGAAACGACAGCTAGTTGATTTCTTGCCTGAGAATGCATATGTGTTCGCTTGGAGCCACTTGACATGCCAGGAATCAATCCCTCTGTGTCCTATCACTCTCTCAGTGTTGATCCGAACATCAAGCCAGTAAGACAGAAGCAAAGAAGGTTCGCTTCAGAGCGCAATCAAATCATAGCCGATGAAATTGATAGATATGCACATGAAACATTAGTGATTATATCAAATTTATACAAAACAAAAAGATATTCTATTTAATTCAGTATAAAATATTTCTTGAATAGAACTTCTAGCATTGTTGTTTTTAGGTGTGTGGCTGCACATGCAACTAAAGTAAGTTTTTCAGTAATAATCAAACTAGTGGTGGGCGTTTGATCCTTCAATCCGTGAATATGATCCAGTTTGTGGATTCCATCCGTTATTCCACGGATCTGATATAACAAATTGATGAAAGATTTAATTTTTGTTAATTCATTAAGACTATGATGCACACAGTTCAGATTTGATCGATTTTAAAATATTTTGGAACCAAACCATTCTTAAATGTTTCATAAAAATTGGATCCGAACCCAACTAAGCCAAGAGAAAACGGTTTGATTTGGTTCGGTCCCACGGTTTTAGGATTTTTTATAATTTAATATAATATATATAAAATTAAAAATATATATTATTCCATTACGGAGTATAATATAATTTTTATTATATATTATGATATATAGTTGAGGGGTTAAAAGACAAATCTTATTATTTTATTATTTATATGAAATATAAAATATATAAATATATATACAATTTATAAAAACAGTTTGGTTCGGTTTGATTTGGTCTTTTAGAAGTTTAAACCATAATCGAACCGTTTATAAACGGTTCTATATTTTTGGAATCAAGACCAAATCAAAACAAATCTTAAAAAAATGGAACCAAACTTATTAGTTTGGTTTGGTCCAGTTTGATTAATTGATTCAACCGATTTCTTGTGCAATCTTAATTGTGACTGGATCAAATCAAGATTTATGCCTAATCCAATGGATGGTGACCCCTACAATCAACTCACTCACTAGTAATTTGAACCATGCATGTGATAGTTTATAGACATTGAATTCCCACAATCATTTACAAACAGGGGCAAGTGCATAAAACACTTTTAAAGTATGCTCCATATAACACTTTTATCCTCTATTTAAAAAGTGTATAAAAAATATCCCTAATCTTTTTACATTGTGCAAAAATATCTCATCTGACATAAATTAGTGTTATAATACCCATTTTGCCGTTTCACTTTTTCGAAAATGTTCAAGGAGATATATATATTCTTTTTGAAACTTTTCTCTCTTTATATATCTCTAAACATTTTTTTTTTAAACTTTGAGAATTTGTAGAATAAAGATTTGAATTTTTTGAGATTTTAGTTTACTCTTTTCTACTAATTTTTTTGTTTCTTTCTTTATTTTTTTTTTTTTGTACCAACACTATTAAAAATATATATATATCCCAACATCATGGTGCACTGGTTTTCGGAGTTTGGAAAAATTTTGTTTTCTTTAGTTAATTTGCACTTTATTTTTGTTTTTTATTTTTTTATTTTATCTTTACTTGTCTATTTTCGTCCTCCTCCAATAGTGTCATTTTAGATCATTTTATAAAATTATTTATTTTTATATACTTTATAAAATAGTTCAGTAAGGGTAATTTAGTCAATTTAGGGTTTAAATTTGTCAAAGGAACCTATTTGCACCAGATTGAAATTTTCGGACTGTTTTTTGCACGAGAGGGGCATCTCCATTAGTATCCTTTTCAATTATTTTACAAAATTATTTATTTTTATATATTTTATAAAATGGTTCAATAATTTAGTCAACTTAGAGTTTAAATTTGTCAAAATAACTTATTTGCACCAAATTAAAACTTTAGTAGTGTTTTTTTGCACGTGAAATGTTTGATATGCACTAAACATAAGAGTGTTTTATGCACTTCACCCCTTACAAATAAGTTAAATAACATGTATCATTTAAAATAGAATCTCACCTTAGACAAGGACTCGACCAGAAACTACCTTGAAGACTTTACCAGTCATAATATAAAATATTTTACCAAATTTACATCATTTCTGAACATTGGTTTGCGCTTCCAAAATCCATAAGTTGTTTAAAGGATTTTGTATGAGTGCAGCTGATAGGTAACAGTTATGAATCTTATAATGGTCAGTGATTATATATATATATATATATATATATATTGGTAATTACGATAGTCAATGATATTGTGTTTAATAATCTTCGATATGTATTTGTAACCAAGTCAAAAACCATTAAGAAATTATTGTTTTATAATATAGAGTAGAGATTTCAATTCAGGTCCTCTCATTACAACGGGAATTGGATTAAGAGGATAATCAAACTCCTATATTAAGAGGTTCTGGTGAGTTTGAAATTTGTTAACAATTCATGGAGAAGGTATTGGGTGCAACTGACACACACTGCACATCGAGTTCATCCAAATTGTATGTACACACCATGCACCCGAATGAACACAATACTCACGGCCCGGATGAGCCCAATGATTGTTTTGATCAGTCATTCCTGGCGGGGCTGGGCTTTGTTTGCTTCATTGTGCTAGTTTGAAGTGGACTGCTACTTCCCTGTGTTGCCTGGCCCAACTTATCTAATGCCCAAGCCCAAATGCATATCTAATTTATTTATTTATTTATTTTTTTCATTTACAATGTATAGGAAAAATAGTTACATAAAATCTTTTAAAATATAAAATCATCATCAATTCTTAATTGTGCCAACGAAACAACAACAAATTTCCATTAATTTAACAACTGAAGAAAGTAAAAAAAAAAGTACTCTTACACATTCCTAGCAAATAAAAGAAAATCACACACAATAAACACCGACTTAAACATTCAGGAAAAAAAAAAATTAAAGAAAATTCAGGGAAAAAACACCTACTTAAACCCACAATTCCATTTCTTGAACTACTGTAAAACTTTCCCAATTTAATTCTCTCCTTAGTCTAAAGAGAGAAAATTTTGGTAATTATTGGAAGAGAAAATTTCTAATAATTTGTGGCGGGTAATTGTTGATGGGTGTTCTCAACGATGAAGATGTTGTCGTAGACAATGGCTGCAATGGCCACTCCGATCAGTGGGCCGACCCAGTAGACCCATTGGTGAGTCCAGGTCCAGCTAACGACGGCCGGGCCGAACGAGACTGCCGGGTTCATGGATGCACCATCAAAGGCACCACCAACTAAAATGTTGGCACCCACAATGAAACCAATTGCTATAGGTGCAATAATGCCCACATTTCCCTTCTTTGGGTCCACTGTTGTGGCATAGACCGTGTAGACTAGTCCAAAAGTCATTACAATCTTGAACACGAGCACATTCCACACCGAGACATTCGTTGACAATGCGAAATGTTTCCTGCATTGAATAGAGCACAACGTCTCATGTTACATTTGTTATATATAAATAAAGCATCGCTATTCATTGCGACTATCAGAATAACAGGCTATTCACAAAGGTCTGTGTGGATCTCATCATACGATGGACTCACGGGCACGTGAGTAGGTTATGAAAATGATTTGTATTTGTTAAATTACTTACTAGTCCTCTTGTGGCGAACTTAAGAAGCAGGCAAGCAACAATTGAGCCTAGCAATTGTGCAATCCAATACAAAATGCCCCTCAGCAACGTTATGTTCCCACCGAGGAAGGCGCCGAACGTCACGGCAGGGTTGACATGGCCACCGGAAATGTTGGCGCCGACGGAGACCGCCACGAAAAGGGCAAATGCATGGGCTAGTGATGCACCTATAAGACCCGATGGTGTGGTTGATCCGTTATCTTTGAGCTTGTCAGCATAAATATTTCCCAATTAGTACACTTTATGTCCCTCTGACTAAAAAGAACTAGTCCAGAGAGTGATGCATATGGTTAATCTATGTACACTTTTGTAACTCTTGACTAGTGTTATGATATTTTATTTGATCAAATTAAAATGTCCATCATTTTTTCATTATTTACAAAAATGCCATCACACATTGCTTGGGATGGCACAGGCACATGGTTTTCAATTTTGAAAAAGAGTGTTAAAATGGTGGCTAATGCCTTACTATGGAGGCCAATTGCTCCAATGATTATATCATGTGGAATAATAAAAAAAAATTCGGGTAATTATATTCGTATCGGTTTTTTTTTCAATCAAAATTACCAAAGGACTTTCGTAAGGTTATAACTTATCCATCCTCAAAGAGAAGAGAAAGATTTCGAGCCCGAACATAGACTATGTGCGTAGGTTTTATCATTAAAAAATAAAAAGAAAAAAAACCTCAAAAGTTGAAAAGCTTACTAAATGCCATGCCGAACCCTTCACCAGCAAAAACAAATATAAGCGTGGAGAAGAACTCGGCTAGCGCGGCCCTTCATAGTATATGTTTTGTCCTTTTACTCTTCTGAAAATACTCAAGAGGGTATATATATATGTGTTACTAATTTCATAGTCTATGGGTGTTATGTACACATTATCTTATATATATATATATATATATATATATATATTTAAAAAAAAAAAAAAATTCTCTATGCTTATCTCTAAACTTTTTTTAAAAAAACTTTGAGAATTTGTAGAACAATGATTTGAATTTTTTGAGATTCCAGTTTACTATTTTTTACTAAAATCTTTTTTTTTTTTTCTTTCTTTATTTTATTTTTTTCATACCAACACTATTAAACAAAAAATAATAAAAATAAAAAATTCCAATATCACTGTGCACTGGTTTTCGAAGTTTGGAAAAAATTTTGTTTTCTTTAGTTAATTTGCACTTTATTTTTGTTTTTTATTTTTATCTTTACTTTTCTTTTCTTTTATACTTTTATTTTTATTTTATATTTTTATCTTTACTTGTCCATTGCCGGCATCCTCTAATAGTGTCATTTTCGGTTATTTCATAAAATTATTTAGTTTTATATATTTTATAAAATGGTTATATAAGGGTTATTTAGTCAACTTAGGGTTTAAATCTGTCGGAGGGACCTATTTGCACCAGATTGAAATTTTAGGGGTATTTTTTGCACGAGAGAGACATCTTCCAATAGTGTCACTTTCAGTTATTTTACAAAATTATTTATTTTTATATATTTTATAAAATGGTTCAGTAAATGTAATTTAGTCAACTTAGTGTTTAAATTTGTCAGAGTGACCTATTTGCACCAGAATGAAATTTTAAGAGTGTGTTTTTGCACAAGAGAGACGTCTTCCAACAGTATCATTTTCGGTCATTTTACAAAATTATTTATTTATATATATATTTTATAAACTGGTTTAGTAAAGGTAATTTAGTCAACTTAGGGTTTAAATTTGTCAGAAGGACCTATTTGTACCAGATTGAAATTTTAGTGGTGTTTTTTGTAAGAGAGAGGCATCCTCCAATAGTGTCTTTTTCAAATATTTTACAAAATTATTTATTTTTATAGGGTAATTTAGTCAACTTATAAACTTATTTATACCAAATTGAAACTTTAAGAGTATTTTTTTACACGTGAAAAGTATGATATTCACTATAAACATGTTTTTGGAGTGTTTTCTGCACTGACTCTTTGCAAATAACATGCATCATTGAAAATAGAATCTCACCTTGGACAAGACACAACCAGAAACACTACCCTTGAAGATTTCACCAGTCATAATATAAAATATTTACCAAATTTACACCATTTCTGAACATTGGTTTGCGCTTCCAAAATCCGTAAGTTGTTTAAAGGATTTTGTATGAGAGCAGCTGATAGATAACAGTTATGAATCTTATAATGGTCAGTGATTATATATATATATATATTGGTAATTACGATAGTCAATGATATTGTGTTAAATAATCTTCAGTATGTATTTGTAACCAAGTCAAAAAAACATCATGAAATTATTGTTTTATGATATAGAGTAGAGATTTCAATTCAAGTATTCTCATTAGAACGGGAATTGGATCAAGGGGACAATCAAACTCCTGTATCAAGAGGTTGTGGTGAGTTTGAATTTTGATAGCTATTCGTGGAGAAGGTATTGAATACAACTGGCACATTGTACATCGGGTTCATCCGAATTGAAGGTGGCGCGCCCACAGGTAGACAGCTTGGATGAGCCCAATGATGGTTTTGATCAGTCATTCCTGGCGGGGCTGGGTTTTGTTTGCTTCATTGTGCTAGTTTGAAGTGGGATGCTACTTCCCTGTGTTGCCTGGCCCAACTTATCTAATGCTCAAGCCCAAATGTAGCTCTAATTTTTTTTCATTTACAATGTATAGGAAAAATAATTACATAAAATCTTTTAAAATATAAAATCATCATCAATTCTTAGTAGTGCCAACGAAACAACAACAAATTTCCATTAATTTAACAACTGAAGAAAGTTTTTTTTTTTTTAAAAAAAAGGTACTCTTACACATTCCTAGCAAATAAAAGAAAATGACACACAATAAACACCTACTTAAACCCACAATTCCATTTCTTGAACTACTTTAAAAACCTTCCCAATTTAATTCTCTCCTTAAAAGAGAGAAAATTTTGGTAATTATTGGAAGAGAAAATTTTTAATAAGCTGTGGTGGGTATTTGCTGATGGGTGTTCTCAACAATGAAGATGTTGTCATAGACAACGGCTGCAATGGCCGCTCCGATCAGTGGGCCGACCCAGTAGACCCATTGGTGAGTCCAAGTCCAGCTAACGACGGCTGGGCCAAATGAGACGGCCGGGTTCATAGATGCACCATCAAAGGCACCACCAACCAAAATGTTGGCACCCACAATGAAACCAATTGCGATAGGTGCAATAATGCCCACATTCCCCTTCTTTGGGTCCACTGCTGTGGCATAGACCGTGTAGACGAGTCCAAAAGTCATCACAATCTCAAACACGAGTGCATCCCACACCGAGACATTTGTTGACAATGCGAATGCTGATGTTTTCTGCATTGAATAAAGCACAATGTCATGTGTTACATTTGTTATATATAACTGAGCATTTTTATTCATTGCGACTATAAGAATAACTGACTACTCACAAGAGTCTGTGTGGATCCCACCATACGATGGGTCCATGGGCACATGTGAGTAGGTTAAGAAAATGATTTGTATTTGTTAAATTACTTACTAGTCCTCCTGTGGCGAACTTAAGAAGCAGGCATGCAACGATTGAGCCTAGCAATTGTGCAATCCAGTACATAATGCCCCTCAGCAACGTTATGTTCCCACCGAGGAAGGCGCCGAACGTCACGGCAGGGTTGACATGGCCACCGGAAATGTTGGCACCGACGGAGACCGCCACAAAAAGGGCAAATGCATGGGCTAGTGATGCAGCTATAAGACCCGATGGTGTGGTTGATCCGTTATCTGTGAGCTTGTCTGCAGAAATATTACCCAATTAGTACACTTTATGCCCCTCTAATTAAAAAGAACTAGTCCAGAGAGATGCATATGGTTAATCTATGTACACTTTTGTCACTCTTGATTAGTGTTATGATATTTTATTTGATCAAATTAAAATGTCCATCATTTTTCCATTATTTACAAAAATGCCATCACACATTGCTTAGGATGGCTCTGGCACATGTTTTTCAATTTTGAAAAAGAGAGTTAAAATGGTGGCTAATGCCTTGCTATGGAGGCCAATTGCTCCAATGATTATATCATGTGGAATGATAAAAAAAAATTCGGGTAATTATATTCCTACAGTTTTTTTTTTTTTTTTTTTTCTAAATTACCAAAGGACTTTCGATCTAAAGTTAAAACTTATTCATTCTCAAAGAGAAGAGGAAGATTTCGGGTCCAAACGTAGACTGCGTGCTTTTGTTTTATCATTAAAAAATAAAAAAATAAAAAAATCCTCAAAATTGAGCTAAACTAAAATAGGGTTTTGAGTTGAAAAGCTTACTAAATGCCATGCCGGACCCTTCACCAGCAAAAACAAATATAAGCGTGGAGAAGAACTCGGCTAGCGCGGCCCTGAGTGCATCCGGGTGGCTCGCCTCCCTCGGTGTTCCAATGGCAATTCTGTTAATTGGCATTTTTTTTTTTTAAATATTGCCTTCACTCCTTCCTTCAACTATGGAATCTTGCAAAACCCTTGTTCCTTGCTTGCCTGCTTTCTTTTACACCTCAATTTGTGTGGCTTACTTAGTTACTTGGTAGAAGAAGTTCACTCTATAAATACCTAAAATTGCGGCGACGGAACCGGTACAACCGGTTTCGAGTAATAAACATTCTACAAGGTGCCATTTCTCGAAGCCACCTGTCGGTGTCATTTACCAGCTGGACGTAGTTTTATAGTAGTAGAGTAGTTCCTTGTGGTTTTGCCACGTGTGTGGTGGTGATACAGTGTAGGCCCTGATGGAACGGGAGATATTAAGGTTTGAATGGCAGACCAATTGACGTGGTGGGTCCCCCTTGATTGTAGTACGATTTAACCTCATGGAGCTAGAGATGGCCGCCTACTTATTGGATTTGATATAACCGACAATTGAATATTCAGCTTTATAGGAGTGTGTGTATATGATGAGTGTTTGAGTGGGGATATATAATATACAACCAAAAATTAAATTAACATATTTAATTACGTTGTAATTTATGATTGGTTAGAGTTATATACTCTCCAACCATGTTACACTCGTTACTTTTTTGTTCTAAGTATGATTAGTTTTTATTAAGGTTGATTTAATGATATGAGAAGGAAGCTTCATAAAAATGCCATGCACGTGACATAATATTTAATATATATAGAAAAAGAGAAATCTATGAAGCCACATGACATAATATATATAGAAAAAGAGAAAACATAAAAAAAAATCCACGTGGCACTTACCGAACTTCATGTCATTATACTTTAATATCATACTGTTGCAAACATGATCTTTATTTGCTTTGTTTGTCACGTTTGTTTTTTGTTTTTTTCTGAATCCATGTTGAAGATAGAGTGGATAGAGACTTATTTAAAAAATGCATCTCTATTATAAAATAATTCAGTAAGACTAATTTTGAAGAGTGATTTATAGTGAAAGAGAGGCCCATTCCTACACAAACATAACCTTGTTATATATATATATATATATATATATATGAGGTCCTATCTATGACATCGTAACAGTCGAAGAAGAAAATTTTTCTTTACATGTAACGGATAAATACGTATATTTATATATACAAAAATCATCTCTTGTACATAGATAAAAAAAAGTAAAAAAAATAAAAAAAACTACATTAAGCATAGTTACAGTTTAATATAATTATTATTTTACGTTTAAATTATATTCAATAATTGGTGTGCTTATGTGTGTGTATATATATACACACACGTGAGAGAGATTGGAGTAAATTTATCCAATATCGATAGAGACAGACCCTTTAGGGTTAGGTTGGGTCGGTTCAATTGGTCCTACAGTGGTACATTCACGTGAACCGTCCAATGTCTGACCACCATGATCTAAGCGTGTGTGTGGGTCCACATTGATTGCCATGGTGTGGAGGTCTTTGGAGAAGTGTTTTGAAAATTCTAGATCTATCTACTGTAGTAGTTTATACAAAAGATCATTAAAAGTTGAGTAGATCTTGAAGCTTGTGATACATAACATCTGAAAAAGTGAATGGTTGTATACGCGCTTGGTATTAATTTCACTTAATAATTTAATATTTTAGATTAGATCGTAAAATACTCATTTGTTATAATTAATATTAGAGTTAGACTTAATTTTTAATTTAATATCACGTCAAACGTTCAGATTCGGTGGACTTTCAGATGGGCTGAGCGTCCCAAGACCCAACGAGAGGGTAAGAGAAAATGTAATAAGGAGTTGGATGAAAAAATGAATAGATATATATGAACTGAGTGTTAGACTCATCTAAAAATATAAATTTTTGAATCAAATCGTGAAACACCAATCCGTTATAATTACCGCATAATGAATAAGTGAACGGTAGTTACCCATTACAATTACCACATAATGAACAAGTGAACGGTGATTACTGACACTGCTGCTGAACATTTTCTTGGTGATGAGAGGAGAGGAGCCCAACCCTATAATAATTCAAAATTATTATACTATGAGACAAATGTCAAATGAATGATTGTGAAGAAGAAGATAGGACAAAAAAAGTCACTCACGCCATCTTTCGATGTTTGGGACTTTGTCCTAATGTTAGATACTCGAATTGATTGACTGTGGAATACAGTGAAACAAAGATCTAGTTAAATCCAAGATTGATTGGACTACAAATGTACTATTGAAATTCTATTTTGAATTGGCTACTACAGCGGTAGTTGGATATTGACTGTTTAGTGTTTATTCTGCAATGTTTTGGGTTGTTCTCTAGTGTTACAGTATCCCATTTAAGGACATATGTTGTTTGGCCTGTCTTGTTGTGTTCTAAACAATAATGAAATACTTTCAGAACACATTCATTATTTGACCCAAAAGGTGAAACAACAATTTGATATTCTAAGTTGTTCTAAGTCCATCTTTTTTACTGTAGCGGAGATAATTTTTATTAGGGCAAATCATTTCAATCTCCCAATCGCCTCCGTCTCTATTATCGTTCTCAACTCTGGAACTTGCTCCCTCTCTCTCTCTCTCTCCAATTGCAAACACAAAATCTACAAGGATCATAAGTTCAAAACCCGCCTCAATCTGTCACTGCCCCGCCCCCCCCCCCCCCTCTATATCTCTCTCTCCAACTGCAAACTACAAAATCTACAAGAATCAGAAGTTCAAAATCTACAATTTTTTTGAACTCTACAATTTAGATTGTGAGTATGGGTTTTGTTTTAATTTTTTTTTAGGGCAAATCATTTCAGCTTCCCAAACACCTCCATCTCTATTCTCGATCTCTCTCTCTGCAACTGCAAACTGTTATGGGTTTTGTTTTTTTAGGGCAAATCATTTCAGCCTCCCAAACACCTCCATCTCTATTCTCGTTCTTTCTCTCTCTGCAACGGCAAACTTGTATGGGATTTGTTTTAATTTTTTTTAGGGCAAATCATTTCAGCCTCCCAAACGCCTCCATCTCTATTCTCGCTCTCTCTCTGTGCAACTGCAAACTTGTATAGGTTTTGTTTTAATTTTTTTTAGGGCAAATCATTTCAGCCTCCCAAACGCCTCCATCTCTATTCTCGTTCTCAACTCTACAATATTTTTTTTAGGGCAAATCATTTCAGCCTCCCAATTGCCCTAGTCTCTCTCTCTCTGCAACTGTAATTCTGTGTGTATGGGTTTTGTTTTAATTTTTTTTTTCTAAATCAACTAATCAAGCTCTGTAATTCTTGTTTTGCAAATTAATCAAGCTTTGTAATTAATTTATTTTAATCATCAAAATAATAATAATAATAATTTCTATTCCAAAATTCTCACTCCAAATTTTCATCCCAACAAATGTTTTGTTCCCATTTCAAAACACTACATCACAAAACACTTGTTCTGATCTAGGTTAGAGCATTACACTACACTACACAACACTTCCCAAACGGGCCCTTAGTGGTTGTAATTTTAATTGGATTTAATGTAGTCCAAGACAAACAACAATTTGCATAAGCATACTTGTATAATAATACATGTAATATAACATAAGGTAAAAGTGAAAAAAATACTCATAATATTTATATTTTGAGCAAATTATACTCTAATGGTTCATATTGTATATATATATATATCTTCTGTTAAATTTGATAAAATGAGTAAAGAAGAGTTTGAAGTCACTATTTAATTAAAAATTTAGTCATACGTGCATATGATATTTTTAAGATATAAAATTTCAAAAATATTCATCTGTCTTCCAATAATGCCCATATATATACACATTGAACCAAAAGGAGGGTCACTTTAGTCATTTTATATTTAATTTATTTTTTTACTTATACTTTTTTTTAATTATAGAGGGATAGTTGAGTCTTTTCAGCAGTCAAATTCTTGTTTGTTCTAAAATTAAATATTATGAATTTTTTACAATATATATGACATTATATACACTCTATATGCATATCATAGGAGTATTTTTTACTCGCGCCTTATAAAATATATATAATTTAAAAAAATTCATAGTAAACTGATTATGAAAATGTTGGTTTGGTCTTTGAACAACATTTCTTTCTCTCTTGATCTCTTTCTCTCTCGATCTGAATATATATAATTGTGTGTATATATAATTTGAAGAAAAAAAATACATATTTGAAACATAATAAAAAAAATTATGAAAAAAAACATAATAAAAAATACTTATATCTTTGTAATGATGAATCTAATATACTTTATAAACATCTTTTAAGTTATATATAATTTTAAAATCTTGCATATATGCAAAGTGATTTTTTTTTTGTTACCTTCATCTTCGTAACTTTAGCAAATGATGATCAAATATTTGTTAGGATCCACCGTCATTGATGCAATATGTCCCACCAACCATGACTCAAATCAAATTATAATTTATTTTAATTTTAAAAATAAAATCTTCTTGAGTTAATTTATGAAATTTGCTCCACAATGATAGAAAGTGTTGAAATTGTAAAACATGTAATAAATTTTCTTAATTAACTAAACCTATGAATACTCGATAGTGACAAATTTAAGTATATAAAATCTATATGGATATACTCTTACAAACTAGTAATGTATTTGTACAAACAAATGTTTACATCATTTCTCGATTATTGGACCGACCAACTTATTATAATTGATCAACTCGGCCCATCACCTAAAATTGATTGACGGGAGATATATATATATATATATATATATATATATATATATATATTTGCACATGTGTGTCGTAATTGTCATTATCAATTTAAATCATTCGCTATGATTGACTCTGTTGCTCTTGGACTTACAATTCGGTAAGAATCCTTTATCAGAACAAAGTTGAAGATTTAACAGTTTTGCAATGATGCAGAAAATGTTGCATGTTAATATATTTTATTGCAAGTGTGTTTAAAATTTTGAATTAAATGTGTTGCATAAAAATTGAATTTTTGACATAAATTATACATAATTATCTAAAACTCATTTGCTTAAAAGTCAGTTCCTCCAAGGCTGGGCGGGAGGTCATGGTTAAAGCTGTGCTCTCTGCTACTCCCACTTATGCAATGCACTGTTTTAAGCTCACTAAACACCAATGCAAGGTTTTAACGAGCTAATTTTTTAATTTTT